ATATATATATATATATATATATACATATATATGTATATATACACATATATACATATATATGTATATATATAGCCTAATATATACATATTAGGCTCTCCCATTCACACACAGTCTCCTTATTAAATGAGGATGATCTGACTGCTACTTGTTTGAATAAAATAAAGTCTAAAGAAACTATACATTACTGTACTTTACACTTCATGTTGTACACAGAAATGTATAATGAGACTTTCAGTTCAACATCACCACCTGCAGGCTGCCAGTAACACCACTACTGAAGCGCCTTACTCTACTACCTCTACTGTTACTTTAACTTGTGTGTTATTGTTTCTGACTCCAGTAACTAATCCACTCATCAAATCCAAATCTGTGTCTTCAGAAAGTCTACTGACCTTGTGGCAACCGGGCAAAGTGGTCGCAGGCTGACCACACACCCCCTGTTGATGTCAACTGATCCTGGGACAGACTGGAGGGGAGCAGAGGAAGAAGAAGATGAGGTAGAAGAGGAGGAAGAAGAGGGGAGGTCAGATTAAAATAAAAAAGAGAGAGAGAGGGAGAGAGAGAGAGAGAGAGAGAGAGAGAGAGAGAGAGCGTTAGATACCTCACAATACAGTGAACATAAAGACTCCTGGACAACATGTTCCTATAAAAAAAGATTTAATTAATATTTAATCATTATTATTGTATTCGATTCAATCTATTCCATCTAAGTTTTATTATTGTTCAAAATCTGAATCAAAGTAGATTTAATGCGACACTGTTTTGACATTAATGAACAGAAAATTATCTTTCAGTGTCAAAGTGAACAGATCTTTACAACAAACAAAAAACATGTTTGCATAAGTTAAGGGGGCGAATACTTTCTACAGGCAAAGTATAACGATAGTGAAGAGTGTGTGTGCGCGTGTGTGTGTGTATGTGTGTATGTGTGTGTACCTCTGGAGCGGTGAGCTCAGGATGACCTCCACCAGCTGTGCGACGCCCTCCAGAACCTCGACTGTGGCGTCTCTGACGTGTCGACGCAGACTGACACCTGAGACACCGAGAGGGACGACAAGTCACGATGCTGCCATTGACTTCCATTCATTTCATCTTCTACTATTGTTATTGATACCAACTATCCATCCAACCACATTTCACTGAATGTAACCTGGAACAACTCGTACCAACATTTTTAAGTTGCTTGTTCGAGGGATTTAGGAGAATTAGCTGAATTCACCACTTTAATCGTATTTTTAATGAACACTGTAGCATTTTAGGGGATTTATTAGCAGAGATGGAATATAATACTCATAACTATGTCTTCATTATTGTGTCATCGCCTGAAACTAGGAATCAGGTTTTCATTAGCTTGGAATAAGACCTTCAACTCCACCACTAGATGCCACTAAATCCTAAACACTGTCCCTTTAAATCCTCTCTTAGGTAAGAACACAATGTACGAGCGGTCCAGACCGGTCGTGGGAGTCACGTGACAACAGTCTGCTGTTATTCAAACCTACGTTTCTCTCTAGCGGAGCGTCTATTTTAATACTTTTCAGCAACTTTGAGTCTGAAAGCCAAATATAAATTACACTTTACAATTAAGTTGACATCATCCTGTTTGACTCTGCAATTTGATAATAAATTAATTCATAAAGCCTGACGATATCACAATTCATTTAAATTGGCAAAAATTGAGAGCAAGGCTCCAGATTACCTTTCTTTTTATATAAAATATATGAAATAAAAATATGAAAGTGATCGGCGGGTCAACAGGCTGAAAGCCGCCTGGTTTCGGTCGGTGCATCTCTGTTCCTGGACTGTTGTGGGGGCCTCACCTTGGCTCTTAGGTAGCCAGTAATACACTGTGGACAGACTCAGGACACTCTTCAGGGTGGACTCTGATAACTTCTCTACGTCCTGCAGAGACGAAGAAAACATAAATATGTTGTGAATTACAACAGAAAGTTTGTGTGAGTATACTTTCTTTAACAACTTCTTACAAACTCATAAATATCTACGATCCTTACCGTTAACCTGGTTATATTTGTTGTCATATATTGTAGATTTGAACCGTATCAATATTTTTGGGGCTCAATTTTGTAGAATGAAAAAATGAAAAAGGTTGTGCGGTGATTGGGCTCAGTGATTGGCCAGCAGGCTCCATATTTATCAACTCTTTGAGGTTCCTTATGTTGTTTGTCACGCTCCTCCACAGCTCTAACCATGGTGCTTTTACAAAGGTGTCTTGTTGTGGATCATAACTGGTACAAAATAAACTCTGATGATGCCACTAATAATCTGACCTGTTGTGAAGGCAGCGGGGGTTTGGAGAAGGCCAGGCTGAGTTTAGTGGCTTCATGGGACACGGCCTTCACTGCCTGGTCTGAGGACAGAAGAGACAGTCACATTAAAGGGACCCACTTAATGAAGAGGAGGATGATGAGGATGATGATGGGTGGTGCTGAATCTAGGGGGGGGTGCTGGATTTTAAATGAATGTTGATGAGAAAATATTTGCCATACAATCTGGAGTTGTTGGAAACAACCCCAGATGTAAATAAGTAAATGGAAGACACAGAAATGAACTTATTGTTTATTGACTCAAAACATCCATGGGACACCGTTGCTGTTCCTTCATAGAAGCAGATCGGCACCAGTAGGAAGAAGACGATCATGAGGAACTATACTCAACTCAGAGAGTCCCAGAAGTTGGAGAGGTTGAACGCTCCGTCTGACTTGTTGGATTCGCCATCTGTGGCGGAAAATGAGCGTTCGGTTAGACGCGTGTTCCCTCTTCCAATAATAATAACATTAAAATGCAGAGTAAAAAACAGAAGACTTGTGCCAAACCCTTTTATATTCAGTGACTGATTTAGTAAGTTAATGTCTAAAACGTATGAAAAATAAGAACAAATTAACTTCTATCATTTTTAAAGGCAATGTCTCCAAATTTGTATTTTTATACTTAAGTCATGACGATTAAAACTGGAACTTTTGATTCGCATGTGTCACTTTTTCTCACATTTTATAGACAATAGTTAAAAAATAAACAGATCAGCGTTAATTACTCATAAAAAAAAAGTCATTAGTTGCAGTCCTACAGGCTGCTCCGGTGCTAAAGACTTGAAACATGTACGTCGTTTATAGTTTATGGCAGTTTGGCAATATTGAACATTAATCTCCAACATCTTTGTCTTTTGTAGGCTGTTTTCCTTAGTTGTCTGTTTCTGAATAAATATGTAATAATTATAATGATTGCACGCTTTTGTCCATTTTGTGTTCTTTTGCATCCAATTTGTATATTGTCAGATATATCGCCACATTGCTCGTATCGTACCAGTTATATGATATTTCTTGGTGGAGGTGCACTTCAGTGTCGTCATAACTCTAATTTTGTCATTTGTTTACATCACTTAAAAAAGTAAACAAAAACAGACATACCATCTGCTTACTTTATCCATAAGCAGTGTCTCAAATGTTTTATCCAGAAAACATACTGGATTATAATACATATTATTATATGTGTATGTGTGTGTATGTGTGTATATACATATATATTAACCTCACAAATGAATCACATGTACTGTACATATTTTATCCAGTCAGACACACTCAGTAGCTAATTAAAAGAAACAGTTCATCACAAACTATATTTAGAGGTGTTGATTCAACTTTATAGTAATTTTGAGACTAGTTTGTGCTGTTAAACTGTATTTAATAAAACAGGTGGTTTTATCCATCCCAGTTAAATCACTGAGGAATGACTGCATATAAAAACACTTAATAATAATAATAATAGCACCAAAAACTAACAGCACAGCCTCCAAAATGACGATGAATTAAAATCCCAAACGTCCCTGAAACAATATCTACAAAAACTGAACATTAAAACCTTCATAAAAGGAGCTATTTAAATAGTATTGATTGATTTAGTTGGAGAGGTTTAATGTTTACGTGAAGCTGCTCCAGAGACTTCAGATTTGGCATCTTGATAACAGTTCAGCAAAACAAACAGGAAGGCAACACTGAAGCATAAAACTCATTAAAACAAAACAATAAAATCATAGCAGACAAACCGGACCCAGTGTGCATTTAAAATAACAACGTTAACCGCTGAACTAATGTAGTTTAACGCCAGTTAAAAAGCGACAGTTGGCACTTTCAGCGTGAGCTTGACACACGCTAGCATGCACACATATCAACGTTATCTCGGTTAAAGGCGTCACACCTAATGCGTCATAAATACCTCTGACTCGGTCTCTGATACACTGGATGGAGTTCAGGAGATTTCGTAAAGGCAGAGACACGTTTTCACCACAATTATCAGCACAATTATCAGCACTCATGACACCAAAGTTAGTTGAACAGCTTGATACATGCGTGTTGTGGAACTACAGAAGAACCGGAAGTTGAGCCGGGGACAATTATAAAGGAAGGACCGACACTGCAGTAAAGGGTTTTAGTGACACCTGGTGGTGAATACAGAGTATTACAAGTGGAGACCGAATCAATTACTGTGCTTGAAATAATTAAATAATTGATATGGATATTGTGGGCTTATCTTATTTAAGATATATATATATATACATACATATATGTGTATATATATATATATACATATATATATATACACATATATATATACACATATATATATACCATTGGCTGCTCCGGTTCCCCCCCACCTTCCAAAGACATTCAGGATCAACAGGCTGGCAGGACAGGGGAGTTAGAACTGATTATGATTTAGGATTCTTGTTTAATCACCAATAAAGTATTGGTGAATAGTAGCCCTGTATTTGTTATGCTAGGTCTGCTTTATTTTAACGTAAAGCACAAGTTGATCGATTGTGATAATTGACTGAACTGTAAAGGGTTGCCCATATTATCCGACTGTATGTATATTATCATCCTTCCATCTTACATAAACATATAATGTTGGTAATGTTGCACATTATCCAATAATTATCTCTTTATTAAACACCAAACAATATAAATGAGATGTCATTCATGTGAAGAAAAGAGAATATACAACAAGTTGCAAAGGAAATACACATCTGTGAATCACTGATTATACGTCCAGTAGTTTGTACACAAGAAATATGTGTAATGTACTTAATGAAAACATTTTCGTCAAGTGTTTTTGTGGTTTAAATTATTTCAAAGTTAACAGGAACTTTCCCTTTGTGTAGATTTTGGCGGCCCCTGTGGACAAAACTGGTCCCTTTAGAAAACCTATAATTTTACTGTAGCAGGGTCTGACAGTCTGCTAAGCGTAGTCCTGGTTTTGGTTCTCCCGGGCCTCACTACCTCCAGCAGATCCGGCAATAGGGCCTGGGTCTCCAGCAGCGTGGTGTCGGTGTTGGCTCCCAGCGGGGACCGGAGGAGCAGCAAGGTGAAGCTCTGCTGCCGGGAGCTGAGCTCTTTTCCTCCCGCCGGAGCATCCGACTGCAGGTTGAAGGCGGTAGCGAAGCCGGATCTGAGTCTGTCCACGGTGGACCGGCCTCTGCTGGAGGATCTGGGTCTGTTCACGGTGGACCGGCCTCTGCTGGAGGATCTGGGTCTGTCCACGGTGGACCGGTCTCTGCTGGAGGATCTGGGTCTGTCCACGGTGGACCGGCCTCTGCTGGAGGATCTGGGTCTGTCCACGGTGGACCGGCCTCTGCTGGAGGATCTGGGTCTGTCCACGGTGGACCGGCCTCTGCTGGAGGATCTGGGTCTGTCCACGGTGGACCGGTCTCTGCTGGAGGCCCCGCTAAAGTCTGAGCTGAAGTAGTTTCTGGTGAACCTGCAGGATTTCATCTGATTTTGCGCAGAATCTAACACGGTGGCACCGATGACAAGCGTTAAGAATAACTATGTGGAAATAGACCATCTTCTCACTGATGGTCTCAATGGTTTTCTTATGTAGGTCATATAGAGGATCAGGATTAAACTGAGACAGGTTCAGAACCAGTTAGAAGTTCTTTAACATACATAGAAAACCACCCTCGTTGAGGAGAGGAGGCTGAGATTTTTAACAAACCTGCTGAAATAACAATAAAAAACTGTCTGTGTTTAAGAATACAAACAAATCAAAGAGAAGCATTATATATAAAAGACACAAGTGCTTAGCTGAATGCTGATCGAGCTGCTCTCAGTAAAACCCCTAATGTGAAGGCATTAATCTGGCTGCTTGGTGAAGAAGTAGGCTCCGGTCCCGATTCCGATCAGGCACAAAACGAGGCTCGCACCGAAGAATCCAGCTGCTGGACTCACTCGGCTCGGACTCTCCTTCAGCTCTGTGGATGGAAGAAACACATTTTTTAAAGGCACAACATGTATGGGAACTGTTTAAACCTGCAGCCAGTGTTGCAGCCAAGACCACCTACACCGGGACCAAGTCCTGACCAAGACCCGAGTGTATCGAGACCATAGACCAGGGGTCTTCAACATTTTTCAGGCCAAGGACCCCCAAACTCACAGAGAGATGGAGCAGGGACCCCTGACTATATATATTGTATAAAATTGTTTTATATTAAATGGGCCTAGTACCGTTTATACCTCTTTATTGTGCATTCAATACTAAGCTATTCAAATAATACACAGGTTCATATATTCATGTTTTTATTTTAAACATGTGCAAGGCACAGTGAGTAGGGAGGCCGAGCCACGGCCATTTATAAACACCCCTTGTCAGCTGATTCCAATGCCAATATCAACATTGTCTGTTCATTGCATGATAATCAGGCATACAAGCTATTCAAATAGACGTTTTCATTTTAAACATAAATGTGGAAACAAAAAATGAGTGATGGCCTATTAGTGCCACTGCCATGCATAAAGATACCTGTTATCTTGCATACAATACTGAACTATTAAAATAATGGACAGATTCATGTTTAGAGAAAAAAAATTGTCTAGTCAACCAAAAATTTCGCGGACCCCCTGCAGTACTTCCACGGACCCCCTGTTGAAGACCTCTGCCATAGACTGTATGTAAGAAATGGACATAACTGGTTTATAGACAGCGGTTTTGAAGCCTCGAGTTTGACATTTTGGCTGATGCTTTCTTGGATTTTGGTCGTCTCCATCTTGCAACTACTGCATGGAAGTTACCATAATTGGACTGGGGAAGAGTGACTCCGTATACTGGTAGAGGTAGCAACCTGTCAATCACAACGTAGCCCCGCCCTAAAGCATGCCCTGTTTTATGGTCCATTTGACTCTAAATGGTCCATAATATGGACATCATGCTGTATTGAAGAAGGCTTGAAACTAGAGATTGAGACCATAAACTCATGTTTACAATGTTTACTGAGGTAATAAATCAAGAGACAAGTAGAGTCATAGACTTCTATACAATCAGACTTCTTTTTGCAACCAGAGGAGTCGCCCCCTGATGGCCATTAGAGAGAATTCAAGTTTTAGGCACTTCAGCATTGGCTTGTTGTCTGATCGAGACCGAGACAAGTCCAAGACTGCTCGTTGACTCCAGGGAAGTGAAGAAGAGTTTGGCGGTAATGTATATCCAACATGAACTGCAGTCAATAAGCCGCAGTCTGTAAAGGCTGAAATGAATGAGTCAGCAGAGCTTAAGCTCCGCCCCCACTGATACACAGAGCAGTTTGAAACTGTTTTAAACAGTTTGAAACACGTGGTTAACGGTATAAAATCAAACAAATATGTTTAGGTTTAGTCAAACATCGTGGTTTGGCTTAAAATTACTACGAAGTTGAAAACAAAAATACAACAAAAGCACTTAGTTATGTTACTCAACAAAACTACTTGTTTATGTTTAGTCAACAAAAGCACTTAGTTATGTTACTCAACAAAACTACTTGTTTATGTTTAGTCAACAAAAGCACTTAGTTATGTTACTCAACAAAACTACTTGTTTATGTTTAGTCAACAAAAGTACTTGGTCTACATGGGACACAACAGCGGTCTCCTTGGCTTAAGAGGTCTTAAGCAAAGTGTTTTTCAACCCATCCACCATCTTGATCTCCACCCCTACCTTCTATCTTCTCATTTGAAACTTATTTGCGATTCGTCAAAAGCAAACGTAATCCACGACAAAACACATTTCCCTTGAAACATATTTCACAAAGCAACTTCGTTATAAGGGAACGTAATTTCTAGGAGACAGGGATGACTCAAAACATCATTCAGTTCTGGTGTTGCAGGTGCAGATAACAGGTGCATGATGGGTAGTTCTCACAGCCTGATATTCATCTTGAACCTCCTAAAATGTCTCAAAGAGAGATATTTTGGATTTGAACAGCATCTTGTCTTTATAATAATACTTATAACAGCCCTTTGTCTTACCCCAGCTCCTGGTGAGGGGCCGATGTGAGGATTGATGCTTCACCGCACAGGAGTAAACGTCTCCCTCCCGAGGGGTGAAACTCAGTGTTGAAATTCTGTGGAACGTCCCGTCACTGTTGTGGCTGTAACACAGATTCGATACCCCGTCTGTGACCTTCGCCCCGTTCTTTGTCCATGTGAAGTTGATGGAGGGGGGGTAGAAGTGATCGGCCAAACAGAAGAGCGTGTTCACCACACCGTTGTGGCCCTCGTGCCGGCTGTAGATGGAGATGTCTGGAGCCTCTGATCAATGAGTAAATACATCAGAAAAGAATATAGACAAGTGACTGAGAGCCTTTTTTTTATGGATATTTAAAATGTTGTTCCATTAGTATGAAAAATGGTTGGATAAACTCGATACCTTGCGGTATGGTTACACCAGGAGAAACCTTTTCCGCTTTGCCCAAAACACTCCGACAGTGAGTAATGCTAGATTCGGCAACTTCATAAGCCCTTTTCTTTAAGTCTTTGACAGACTGTGGCAGCCGAGGTATCAAAAACACCACTTCTTTCTTGCTGAAATCAGCATATGCGACCACGTCCCCGTCAATGAGGATGTCCACCCGCACCTCGCCGGATTCATAGCATCCATAGATGTAGTGGAAGTCATGGGAGGGCGCTGAAAAAGCAGGAGATGAAACAAGATGGAAGCAGTTTAAAGACTCATATTGTACTAAGATTGATTGAAACCAATGATACATAAAATCCAACTTGTAGTGGAAGGCATAGTTCAGCGTTTTTTGAAATACCCTTATTTGCTTTCTTGTTGAGATATACGTGAACATTGATATCAATCTTGTGTCAAACGGGGACCCTTAAGTTTACTGCACGTTCATGCATGCTATGCACCATAATATGCAGGTTTTCACAGGCTGATCTCATACAGAGTTTGTAGCTAAAGCGATATGGAAATGAATGCGTTGTAATGTCTTGATACCCCATGAAATCAATTCATATGAAATCCACTTATTCCTGTACCAGAAAGTATAAAGACAGCTGGTCAATGGTTCCCGACCTTTTTGGCCGGTGAAAGAAGCTGTGTCTGAGGTCTAAAGTTGAATATGTCTACAAGAACTGTTTCAGGCACAGAGAGGTAAAACTCTACAAAAACAATGCAAGCATGTGGAAATATGCATCTTTAAGGTCCGTGGAACACACAAAAGCCAACAATTTTATTTTTACAATTCATCTCACAAGAGGTGACTGACATAAAAATATAAATCCGACGTGAGACATACTTAAAGGAAAGCTTCTCCTGCTTCCTAAAGAAAATGTAGACTACACCCCTTCCCTTCATACCTTTACTTTACATTTGTTGAGTTACTCACAACAAGCCAAATGGACTCAGGTCATGTCTTACTTGCTGCAGAAGTACAAACAGCTCCAGTGAATACGATCAGTATCACAGGCAGAGTCATCTCCAATCCAAACCCTTTGACTGTGTTCAGAGAACAAAAACGTCTGAAAGAGGAACCTCAAACAGTTGAGCTTCAACCAGCCAGTCAGATACGATTACACCGATGTTGCTGGGTAGAATATTTGTAGCCCGGGAGATTTAACCAGGAAGTTGTCTTAAGAGGGGAAAAAAACAAGTAAGTAAGAAGCAGAAGTAAATGCGATTGGTAGAAGCAGCTTTTAGCAGAAATAATAAATTCATTTTTAAGAAAACATTTAAACTGTACTTGAGTACAAATAAAATACTTAAAATATAAATCAACCTCTTACAGAAATGCTTGTGGACATTTAAATGGATTTACTAAAAAACAACTTCTTAAATCAACACAGCTTCTCGGTGGCGATGAAAGGGTCAGCATTGGGAGTGTATTTCTTGTAACAAATGCAGAAGTTGCTTGATTTATCTTAGTAAAGAATGATGTTGGTTTTTAGGTTGAAAATATTTGTGCAGTACCTCTAAAGACCATCAGGGGGCAACGTGCACTTGTAGTTTCTGCCCCATGTCAGATGTCTTTCAATGGACACAGATGTAGACGCTCACACTGGGCTGATGACGGTCAAAGTCATCAAAGTATCAGTTGGATGCAGAGATGTGATGTGTAGAGAGACACGGGTGAGTTACGTCAACAGGAAGTGTGTGTGTGTGTGTGTGTGTGTGTGTGTGTGTGTGTGTTTGAGAAAGAAGAAGAGAGAAGTGGGATGATTTGCATTGAGTTGCTCTGTTGATCAGCAGTTCATATTTGAAGTTGTAGGTTGTCGTCTTCGACAATAAATTGCCTGCTTTTTTTTGCACTTGGACAACTTTCAAATAGTTTAGTTTCTATAAATTATGACACATTGGATTTTGGGATTGATAGCAGAACGATGAGATTCGATAAAATAAGATATAACTTTATTCATTCTGAAGGAATTTTTTGTGTCAGAGATTCGATAAAATAACATTTTTACAAAATTACAAAATTTAGGAATAAACAAACACTGGTGTAAAAAATATAAAGTGTGTAAGAAGTTGTTCTAACATTATAGTGCCTGGTAGAATAAAGTAGGATACATTTAGAACAAAAAGTAAACTTAAATTAAAAAAAATAATATTGTGCATAATATTGAATACTAAGTAGTATTGGCAATGATATTGATAAAGTAATATGGCATATTATATTGAAAGGTAATATTGAATTGGCGGGCGGACCGTAGTTGACGTTAGGATGTCGGCCATATTATCTGCCTCGAGAAATGTTTTTGTTGCTTCTGTCAACATCCTTATGATGCAAATTCAAAAAATGTCCTACGGGAGCGCACTACTGTTTTTGTTTTGTTTTGTTTGTCATGCTTTTCTTATGTCATAAAAGAGCAAATACTGCATATCGTTTTGCATCCCTGTGTTTCATAATGACAATAAATAGTCCTTGAATCCTTAAAAGTATTCCACATAATATTGAAAAAGAATGCACATGTTCTTGAAAGGTAATATTGCACATATTATTGAAAGTATTGCACATGATACTCAAAGTATACATGATGTTCAAAGTATTGCACATGATACTCAAAGTATTGCACATGATGTTCAAAGTATTGCATATGCCATTGGTAGAAATGAACCCCTGTGGAGTTCTGTGGTGCACCTCGGTGGTCTATGGCTGAAGGTGCTCTGGAGGGACTCCAGTGTGGTGTGCAGGGGATGAGAGGTATTGTAGTGACTGATTCCAGCAACTAGCCACTCGGCTCGGTGCGGGAGAAGATCCTGTTCTTTACTCGCTACAACAAAGAGATTCCAGGCGTTTCACAATTTTGGGTGAGGTTCCCATTTAATTAGTGTTCACATATACAATAGGATACCACTTATCTTCCTGGTCTCCATGGTGTGTCTGGCTTGCGGTAAAAACCGTGCGATCTCCCCGTCACCCATGCATCATCACCTGTCTGTTGCACCTGTGCCCCATATATTAATTACCTGCTGCAATACTCCACACTGCCACCCGTGGTCAACCTGAGATAGGCTCCTAATTCAAACATATAATACACAGACATAACTAATGGCTCCTACAGGTATTGTCCAAAATATTGTGTAGTTTCCTCCTCTCTGGCACCTCCACCAAAGACCACCAAAGTAGTGAACATGCTCTGAACTCAAGGAGGAGGCATTGTTCTGTCTAGACTAGAGTCTCTCCACCTGTTGGGTCCAGCTCAATACACAAAAAACAGCACCATGACAGTGCTTCTCATCTAACTCAAGGCAAGAAAGCAAATAAGCATGTTTTCTAAAATGTCAAACTATTCCTTTATCATGCATTTTTCTTTATCGACATACGTATATCTAGATACGGAATGTGTGTTGCGGTAATATCAGCTGTCAACGTGGTTTAAAATGTCCCGATTTTCCAAAAAGAATTCCTCTCTCTAGCAAAGTGGTCCCCTCAATGATAGAAGTGCACACACACACACACACACACACACACACACACACACACACACACACTTACACAAACACT